GGGGTTTTTTTTTTTTTTTTTTTTTTTTGTAAGGTCGACCTTATTGCCATTTTCGTTTCTTTCTCAGTTTATAACTCCTTGACGAAGGAACAAGAGACTACCTAGAATTCCCTTCGGGAAGTTTTTAAAACCGTAAAACCCAATATTAACCTTGGGTTCTTAGATAGTCCTTGGGTAGCCCTTAGGCACTCTCTGTTCGATTTAAGTGTAATGATTTCGTTATCATTATGGGGTCCCATATCGCTAGACGATGAACTATTTGAAAACTCTATGGGTATTAAGATTAAAATCCTCGTCCTTTAGTTACGTAGGAAGAGTTCTAAGATTCGAAACTTCAAAAACAGATATCAAATGGAAAAGTATTATATAGAATAGTTAATGATTCTCAATTTTAATTAACTAACTAGGTTAGCTAGTGATAGAAGTATAAATGAACAAGAGAAAAAGGCACTGTTGTCACTTGATCCTTTAGATTTTACAAGCAGCCATGAGACTTTTCCTTTTTGACTTCGTTCCATCGTTCCTAGCAATTTTGATTCTCACGTTTCAGACAGGAAAAGCAATATCGTCTCCAAACGAAAAAGCGAGAAATTAATTCCTTACGATAATATTTTCCTTTGAGAGCTTTGAGTTTGTTCAACCCCGTTTTGGAATTAAAAGGAAGAAAAAACGTAAGACAAACACCTCGTGTCACTTTTGAAAGTAATGGAAGAACGACGTCAAGAGGCGCAGTAGGAGGGACACGTGGACGATAAATAATTAATTAAGGAAATTAAAGTTCCAACAAATTAGAGAGAATAACTCGTTCTTAATTCATTCATTGCTCGTCTGCCAGATGAAACTTGTGAGATAATTTTCACAATCTGTAGATCAATCCCTTAATCGCACTCTAACATTTTCCAAATCTATAAGCTGGAAAATACGCCTGAAATACTCTGTCAGGGTTCAAAGGATCTTTTTGCCGATGTTTGTGTCAAGGGTGTAAAGGATTTGCTAGTCCAACAGTCTGGGACTATGCTCTACCAATCACAGGACAGTACTCTGTACCTGGATTAACTCTGCGAAGAGATAATTATTTATTAGATATTGATGGTGCTGTTAGGTATATACAGTGAAGTAATATTGCCCTGCTATAATAGAGAATATGCCTATAGTAGTCCTACGATACTAGGTCGGGCGTTGGCCGATAAGTGGCATAACGGAAACTGGAAAGCACAGGAAATCAGGATGAGGCCAGAGTGGTGAAAAATGGGAAGATATATATGGTGGCTTCTGTAGTTTGTATATACCTATAGGCAGAGCATGGGATATAGTACTACTAATGAAACTAGAGAGGAGTGGGCAGAGAACGTGTGCCTTAATAAGGCCCAGAGCCTTGAAGAAGTATATAGCATTACGTCATTTTCCAAGAGGCTATGCTGTTGTAGCGTCTTGTTGCTTTTTCTTTTTATTTACTACTCCATGTGTTCCTGTAAAGTCCAGTATCTATCACTACCGGTCGCATTATGCACGCTGGGAATAGAACCATTAGTGTACTTTAATGTGACTCAAAGAAATACTAATATTCTTAATTTGGTCAGTCTTTAGTGTATGGATAATTATTGTCGATTACTATTACGAAACGTTGTATCAGTTATGAAATGTCATAATACACCTAATGGAAACCTAATTGACGATGTGTTTTTTAGGTTACTACTGAATTCCGATGTGGAGCACTTTTCGTAAAGGTCTATATTCATTGTATGCCAAAGCTTCAGAACATCCGTGGAACGTGTACCTTTTCAGTATTTGTATTTTCTGCCACCAGATGTCATGTCAGATATCCAATATTGCCTATTATTGTATCTAGAATATGACGTCATGAAAGATGTCTAACAAGGAACATCACTTTAGTGTCTCCATCCGATTTTGATGAAACTCAACTATATTGTAGCGCTTGAAAATCTAAGAGACACGTGTCTCTTTTTATCGGCGGAAAAAGGGTTTTAGGGGGTGAAATCAACCCCCAAAGTTCGGCACGTCGAGGGGTGGTAATGCAGTTTCACCTAGAAGGGATCGACCGATTTCAATGAAACAAAAACTAAAATGTTTCTCATCACGAGTAATGTAAAGTGCACCTAAACATTAAAAAAAAAAAAAATTGTCTCTTGTGGGGGTGAACCACCCCTCGATTATTATTTGTTCACCCTATTTGAAAAACTTACGAATAGAATTTAATTAAACACGTACCCTTCGAAAGAGGAAGTCAAATTAAAGTTTACAATTTTTTTGCTTTTTTTCGGGAAGTCACGTTTAAGGGGGTAAACTACCACCTACGTACCGATGCATGGATTTCCATATAGGACCACTTCTTGCGCAATTTAAAAGTGTAAATTAATTAAAAATATTGTCGTTAGTGACAGTCGATAAACAATAAGTGAATATTAACGAAGTTCTCCCGTTTCTGGCCCGTCTCCTGGCTCGTCTCTCGTTCCCCCTCTACGACGCGTAGCTCTGGATACAGCCACGCGGGATACAGATATAAATATCGCCTCACATTGGTGAATATAAGACTATTTTAACATTTCACCCATCGTTAGTGAATGTAAACCAAGTTATTTTAGAAATTGTTTTACAATTCTTTTTCATGATTAATTTTTTTAATGCAAATTCTATTTCGTTTCCTGATTGCTAAGCATATTTACATGAATATTCTTATTCTTATTAACTATACACGGCTATTATGATTTATAGCAATCATGGTTCGAAATTGGTATAAGAAATGAAAACCATCGAAAAAATGCTGCAAACATAAAGATTTTCTGTACCATGCGTATCTTATAATAGCACCATTATTACACCCGGGTATTTCACAGTGTGCTTGAGAAGATTGACCGTCACCAAAATCCACAGGATTTTCTAATTCTTCTGGTTTTTTTTTGTTATGTAATTGCTTTTGAACCATGCATATTTGAAAAGGTTCGTATACCTCAGAGATGACAGTTGATTATGTGTAATTTAATTTGAGATTGTAATTTAATTCCATTATTCCTTAAGTGTAAATTGATATCAGAATTCAATAACAATACACTATCTGAAAACTGTCGTACAAAATTGTTCCATATGCGCATTCCAAATACATCGAGGGGTTGAATTTCTCTCGTTGTACAAGTTATAAGAAAAGCATTGCGTAAAATTGCCGGTATGAAAAATACTGTTATTGCGTCTTTCTCGTTTCTTATCTGTTTCAAAAGGTATATCATTAACAAATGAATTACCCCTCGATCACAACAACTTTGTCGACGATTTATTAAAGCGCAGTAATCGAACGACGATTACTACTTATATATACTACTTGCTACAAGAAATAAAAAGTACTTTCTGGACTATTAATAAAATATATTTCACATATAAAATAATAAAAAGTGGTACTATGATGTACTAGCTACCGTAGTTACCTCTAGGCGGAAGAGTGGAAGGACAATTGAATTAATTGATATTCAAATTTTAAATAAACTTACCCCCTTAATTACGGGTAATACGTTAATATTCACTTATTGTTTATCGACTGTCACTAACGAGAATATTTTTAATTAATTTACACTTTTAAATTGCGCAAGAAGTGGTCCTATATGGAAATCCATGCATCGGTACGTAGGTGGTAGTTTACCCCCTTAAACGTGACTTCCGAAAAAAAAGCAAAAACATGTAAACTTTAATTTTACTTCCTCTTTCGAATGGTACGTGTACGTGATTTCACCCCCTAAAATCCTTTTTCCGCGGATAAAAAAGAACACGTGTCTCTTAGATTTTCGAGCCCTACAACATAGTTGAATGTCATCAAAATCGGAGGGGAGCACTAAAGTGATGTTCCTTGTAAGTACAAGGAGTCACTGGACTCATTAATCTTCATACATTGTTGTGTAATGGCTAATAGTCATTCGCTTATTCAACGTTGTTCATACGTGACTAGCATTTTCATCCAATTTAAAATAGAAAAGAGATTTTATTAAGATTTGTATTTTTTGTTTTAGGCTCTCGGTCTTACAACGGTAGTCCTGGCCATATGGATGCTGACGGATTCTACTTTCTTGGTGTCCGTCACCCAGGAACAAGACAATTATAATGCTGGATTATATATCCTACTTGCTGGCGGGGCTCTAATGCTCATCGTCGCCTTCCTCGGTTGCTGCGGCGCCTTCCGAGAGTCACAGTGTATGCTAGTTGGTTTCTTCAGTTGCCTCCTGGTGGTTGTCGTCGCCCAGATTGCCGCTGGAGCCTGGCTCTACAACACTAGCGACCGTCTCGAGGCACTTGTCACGAATTCCGTAATGAATACGATTAAAGTAGGTCATCATCAGTCTTCAATGAATTACGCAATTAGATGAGATCATGGACACTAGATATGTGACATATGTAATTTATATTTCAGAAAGAATATGGCATAATCGAATCTCGTACCAAAACTGTTGACGCTTTCCAATCTGGTCTTCAATGCTGTGGTGCCAAAGGACCATCTGATTGGGTAGGAAGCTCATTCGCCGAAAAAGATCCAACAAGTCCTATTAAGTTGACCGTATCGGCTGTAGCAACCCAGTATCCTATACCCAGGTCCTGCTGCAAGTTAGGAGATGATACGGCTTGTGAGGCGATTCTTAAAATAAACGTAGCTGACATACCAAATCCTGGAATCTACAATGAGGTAAGATAAGAATTTTTGTCTTGGGCATTTGGGTATTTAATTCTCTGTCCTTCGAAGAAAATGTTTCTGAACTCCTCCTCGTTACTCTTGCCATGTAGGTGGTTAGATTGAAGACTCTGCCTTTTGTTTTTTTTTTTCTTTACTTTTTTCCCCATCAGAATTGGCAATTCGAACATTTTTTTTCTTTTAGGGTTGTATCAACAAGCTGGTAGAAGTCTTGAAGAGTCAAGGATGCATCATACTTGGAGTTACCATAGGAATAGGAATACTGGAATTTTTGTGTCTGATATTCTCTCTTGTACTCTGTTGCGCGATCGGTTCTCCCGATCGGTACAAGGCTTAAGATCTCAATGATTTTATTAGGTGCCAAATGGTATCGTTCAAAAAAATTATCGTGTTAAACTTTTAGCGCTATAGTCGATTCGTAGCTTCAGTTTGTGCCAAGTGCCGAATGGAATTATTGAGATAGACAGAATGAGTCTTGAATGAGATCTCTTCCTTACCGACTAAGAAATTAAAATAATTCAATACTCCTCAGGAGTGATCGATAATTATTCGACTTGAGAACCAAAAACTTCAAAGTAGAATCCATGACACAATGAAAAAAGTGGAATGAATAGAGACAACAACAACGCTGGAAGCATATAAATACAATAAGTCTTATCGTACTGAACGATTGCGACTATCCAACCGAGAATGTAATCAGAATTGCTATCCTTACCGAGAATGTAATCAGAATTGCTATCCTTACGTTTTCCTGATTCGTTTCAATTAAATCTCGAACTATAAATAAGAAGACATAAGAGAGTAAATGAACCATAACAAGACTCATTTGGACATTGCGCATCCCAGGACGTCGTCGAGTACAAAATTCGAAATTTTCTTCTCAAAAGAGAAAGCAGGCAAAAGAGCAGATACGTCTTTTCATGCTTTTATTTTCGGGCCAAAGTATCTTGACCAAATATTAAAAAAAAAGGAAGTATATCAGTCCGCCAATAAAAAATATTTATTCTGCTCTAATGTGGACAATAAGGCTTTGATTGCTGGGACGACCGTTTGGCAGGATTTGAATAACGAATATTCTAGTTGGGCACAGATTCTAATTCTCGCGTGAGTCGTACTTCTGAAAAAGAAACACCACACGCATACGAAGTGCATAAGTCTCTATGGTTAATTTGTCCAAAAGAAATTAGAGTTTGTCATGTACTAAAGACAAAGAGAAAAAAGGCACTGCTTCCATCTTTCACTCAAAAGCATAAATCCCTCACTATCACAAAGTACGCGTACGTGACTTCCCGTATTTGATCCTTCAAGAATCTTAAACCAATATATGCGGAAACTTAAAGCGTTGTTATACACAATAAATTCTCTGTGAATCGCGCGAGATTCGCGAAGACTAATTAAAACATATTCAGCGAGCCAGCCAAGCTCTGCGAAACACTGTGGACGTGGAAATGCCGGCATTTATTTCCGAGATTATATTTCATTTTTGGTTTTATTTTTTTAATGAAAATACGAAATCTTAAGACCTTGTCTTTACAGATGAAAAATGTCAGAATCAATGACGGGTTAGATTATACGAAATATTTTTATTAGCGAGCCGCGCTTTTAGGGAGTGTTCTGCCATGTCCGTACTCCTCTTAATCATTTTGATATTGATATACATACGTATTTTTCACTAGATATTTTTTTTCATTTCGTTTCGATGCGATACTTTTAGCGATTTATGCGAATCTCTTCGTGTACCTTATGCTCTGTCCAATTGGACGTATTCTATGTCCGAGGCATTCTTAATACGATTGTAATTATATATTGATATTGATATATATGAGAAATGTAAGAGAATGTCTGTGTGTGAGAGAGGGAGAGAGAGAGAGATGCAATTGTGGACAAAAATGCACTAAGTCACTTTTAGTTCGTACATATATGTATTTGTATATGTATATGTATATGTATTTTAGGGTAATTGCGAAGATCTATCACACACACACACACACACACACACACACACACACACACACACACACTATATTTAAGCTTGTTTACACTGTGGCCGACGATATTAATACCATTTGAGGTATTGTACAAGGTTTTTACGTTTTTTTATTCTGAAAGTTCATCGTGTTTCTCTTCATCTTTTTGGCACATTGCGATTGTTCGCTCTTATCATGATTATTTTATTTTTGTTTTCGTTTTCGTCGAACTTAACGAGGCACGCCTCGTAATGAGGAACAGATTTAACAGAGCATTGAGAAAGTGATTGAGAGAGAGAGAAAAAGAGAGAGAGAGGAAAAAGAGGGCTAACGATAAATGACAATGAGGGTAACTTGAACGAAATTCTATTTTCGTAATTCGGAAGTGAAATATATATATATATGCATTCATGTTTGTATATTGTATTATCAGAGGCTGCGCACAGAAATCCGAAATAAACCTCTTTATTCACGTGTATCGTGATTGTCTTTTATATAAGATAACGATTATATTTTGGTTTGATTAAATTACTTTTGCACAATTCTAATTTTTATGGCATTTCATAATTTATTATACAACGTTAATTAGATTTTAATCGTCTAGTACCCTTTGGTGTGCCGTCGACTAAGAAATTTCCTTTCGCCTTGGTGCGTCTGCTCAGAGATGGCGACACTATCGTGGATAAATTTAAAAAAATGCCCACCAATATTTTTAATCTCTGGATCTCTTTCTTTTTATCCCAAACACAGACTTGTACTGACTTTGGACAGCGTAAAATTTCGAGAGAAAGAAATTCCAGAGACGTTAAGAAAAAAGGAAAAGTACAGTGATTTGAAAGTGATTATTTACCTAAGAAATTTGCAGAATAAAAAGAAGAAAACATGCAGAAAATTTTACTGCGCGTAAAGACTGTTTTAAAAAGTACGTCAAGAAGGGTGATGCACCAAAGACAACAAGAATAGCGTCATTCAATAAATACAAAGAAGAAGGCGCAGAGAGGAGACTGAGTAGGACTCCGAGTTTCGTATAAGTGGCACGTTTGGAAGGAGAAAAAGATGGAGTAGAGTGTTACTGGTGGGGGCCTTACCAGGGGCCTCACAGGTGCGGCTGCCATTCTCGGGCCCGAAACAACACCGCGAGAACCAGTAGCGCAAGGCGAGCAACGCGGACGCCGAATACAATACTATTCTCTGTGTGACTCAGTGTGACTATTCTGTCCTGCATTCTGTAAGGAACATTCCTGTGGAATGCTACGAGTTTCCTGTGTCTCGATACGTCTGGACTACGCATCATCCTGATATCCCTTGACGTCTTCCTCCTCGTCTTGATTTTTATCAGATACACGTGGAAATTGTCAGTCTTAATTCCCGGCTACATTATGCCAGTTATCATATAACCTCACGTGTCGTACGACTTTCCTCAGGATGGATCTCTGTAGTTATCGCTTCTCATGCACCGGGAAGTGCTGAAACAATCAGGTACAGCAGACGGTAGTGATACTTCCATGATAGTTTCCTTCCTGGATTATACTGGGTAATAATGTAAGTATTATATATTAACTTATTTACTCATGCACATTCTTATTAATTTAAAGTTTGAGCTTGTTGGTGTCTAAATTCATCTTGGTATCCTGGTGGTGAGCCTGAATTCTGCAACTTCAAAGGTACACCTTGATATCTCAATGACAGAATTTGTTTTCTCTTTTTGTTTAGCTTGCTCTACATCTCCTCTTATGAACATATTACATTTTATCTGAGATAAGGTTGCTGTACTTAACTAGAAGTTTTTAATGATAATAACGTAACGTAACCGGGCTACCGCTATTACCTTAGCAAATTACCTGTATAATTCTACATTCTGTACTGAACTAATAACTGTCTTTGTTGTCTGTATACTGTGTAATTATCATTCTTATTAACTCCAAATGATATTTTAAGCGCTACTCCTTGGGTTCTATGATAATAACCTGTAAGAGGAATAATTTTTTATTGATAATACAAGAAGTCGATGGTAATAAATTTTTTCTTTTATCATCAGACTTCCTGTGTTTTATATACGAAGTACCTGTTTCACCGTTTAATGTGTATCTAATGGTAATAATAACAATAGCTCTCTAACGACTATCAAGCAGCATCCATTCGTCATGCATTTATGCATGAGTGAGAATTTGTAGAAAACTTTTCTTAACTATAGTGTAGTTCGTTAATTCAATTTATTATATTTTTTGTTATACTGTACGCATGTAGGCTATAGTATGTATGAATAAACCGTCACGCATAATCCCAGTTGCTTATGGTCAGTGTCATGTATTAATTTCAGTATGAGCTAATACCGATAACCGTGCTTTGCATTAGTTCCTCATTGCACTTCGTATGTGTATGCAATAGTGCTCGCCTCCATGTCGTTAATTCTATTTTTATAATTCACGTGCGCGTTACGCTTAGCAATTTCTACCTGTAGTCTATCTCGTATATATATGTACTTTAATGTATTCGATGGTATTTGTTTGTATATTTTACGAGCCCACAGATGATGTCATCGTACACCTAATAATACCTGAAACCCACGTCTTACATCGGTAGAAATTGCTTGGGACTTGTGTATATCAAACAAGTATATTTAAAAAAATTATCCTTATTTAAAAAGATTACCGTACGAGTATTGTTTCTCTGTGCAACGAAAGCTGTCTCGTACTACTGTTAGCTGCATAATGCAATTCTATAGGTGTACCGATATAGTCCTGATAATGGAAAGTCTTACATAGCAAGAAATATTATAGCTCAGGGCCGTGTTTTTTGGGGGAGGGGATTCTACGGTTTGAAAGATCAGACATAATGCCAATGACCTGTTATTGCTTGTTCTTCTTTCTGGTGTGGCGCTTGGTCGTTGTAACATGTAATTTCGGTGGTTGTGAAATTTTTGAAATTGTCAAAGAACTTCCGGGAGTGAAACCAGGCGTCGGGACGGTACTGTGTCTCTCCTTATATGGAAACTTCTTGCACTGATCTTGTGACTCATTGTACGCAAAGTTGCCGGCTGCTTCAGTTCTTCAAAGAGAAAGATAGAAATAAAGAAAAGTGATTAAAAAGTTGTTGACGGACCGGTTTGCTTTATTTTATTTTATTTTATTTTTTTTTGAAATAATTTTGTTGTCATCAATCCTGATGCTCTACGGAATTGTATATAATTTAATATTGTGATTTTGTGTACCAGAGTATTTGTTTTGGGGATGTGAATAAATTTTTTTCATTACCTAATATAGAAACAACGATTTCATTGAGCGTTGCCAAGCTTCCAAATGCGTTGTTATGAATTGATCGAGTCGAGTAAGGTCTTCTAATTTTTTATTCGCGCTCTGAATCTGTTATTAATGTCTCTTCTTTTATCTATTATTATTTTTAATCATGTTCTATAAGACGCGTCATTCCGACGCCCATATATATATATATATATATAAGTTAATCCAGGGACATCCGTTTAAATAGCGTCCTACACTCGACGCCATTTGATAATACACGGGGTGGTCTATTATAATAAACATAAATAATTTATTGCTGATTTATTAATCCTTTGTTAGTGAATCCTGGTCGACCATATTAATAAGAATCAATCTTGAACATTATGATTTGCATGTTTTAGTTTTTCAAATATTTTATATAAATTTGTATGATCCATACATTCTACTGCAAATTTTTATCTTTGATAAAAGTTGTGAGAAAATGTTTCAAGGTCTTTTGATTTACTTTACATTTATGATATCAATTTATAAGTTTAATTAAAAGATAGTTTTGGACGTTAATTTCGTGCCAAGCTCGTTGAATATTTTTATGAACTTTTCGTTTTAGATCTGAAAAGAGATTACATTGATCTTTTAGCGTATTTTTTAAATTTGGAACTTCCACTAGAGAGATTGAATTTGATTAAATATATGAATACATATCGGCAATACATTCACTTGTTTTATGATGAATTTCTTATTTCATTTTCTCCTTTTGCTATTCTCTCAGGATAAAGATGAGATTCCTCTGTGTCATCTTGGGATTAATAACTCTGTCAAGAACTCAAAATCCTAAGGATTTATGCCCTGATAAGAATTATCATAATCCAAAGATTGAGGAAATTGCCAGGGTGAATTGTGGTCCAGCTTTTCAGAATAAATGCCTCTGTCAGTCAATCTGCTATGATGAGCCGCATCCTCAGTATGTTGTCAATTGTACAGATGCAGGATTTACTGACACTTCCCCATTGAAAAATTTATCCTCTAATACTGAGGTAAGATTTTATTGATGATCTAAATAAAGGAAAACATTTAGTAAAATTATTATCTCACGCTATGAATATTTTAAATTATTATTTTTTGAATTTTAGGTGTTAATTTTTACTGGAAATTATCTTGAGGAATTAGACTGGAATATTTTTGGCACTTCAAACTCATTTGAGAAACTTCGTGTAATAGATATGTCAAATAATGGTATACGAGAAATAAAAGGCAAAACATACCATCATGTTCAATATGTTCAGAGACTCATTTTGGATTTTAATAGACTGAGTTTAGATTCAGCTTGTAATCATCCAAGAGTATTTTCAAATTTTGGATCATTACTTGAGTTACATTTGACTGGTGCATTTGAAAAGGCCAAATCAAAGGATTTGGCTTCTACTTTACATGGTATATTTGTTAATAGGTATGTGTTGTATTAATATTAGATCTGTTATAATCTTTTTAGTTCTCTTCGAGTATCACTAATGTATATATCACCTTGTACTTGCAGTAACCTGACTCGATTGATAAAGCTTCATCTGGAACAGAATAATATATTTGAATTCCTTGACTCAAATGTCTTCTGCGATCTTCCAAACTTATTAGATCTTCACCTAGGAGACAATGCTCTCACTGCTCTTAATTTCAATCTCTCCTGTCTCCATCATCTGCGCTTTTTGGATCTTCAACGCAATAAATTCAGCAGAGTCTTGGAGCGCGATCTTCACACTCTAGACACATTTGCCAAACATGGACAGAACGTCACTATTGACTTATCCGGGAATCCTTTAAATTGTTCCTGCAAGCTCAATCCATTTATCAAATGGATGGAGAAAACCAAGATCTTTGTCAGGAATAAGAACGTCCTACGCTGTGATAAGAGTGAGTTACTAAAAAGCTGCTCCTCCTTCTCCTTATTTTTATCTTAATATGCCATTCATTCTTCTATTATATTATTTTATTTCAGAAGGAGAATCACACAGACTTCAAGAATTTAAGAACTGTTCATTGAAACTTGCTGCCTCTACCCATCCTGGTACTACAGTGGCTCTAATATTTTTATCTCTAGTTTTAATTGGTTTAGTATCAGCCTTAATTTATGTACAACGAGCCGACCTAAGAAAAAGACTAGAACCTGTGATAGATTCAGTAAGCAAACGCGTCCGGTATACATCCATATCTACAGGTGATAATCGGGAGATGGATGTGTGAAAGAGTCGTAATTGAATTTCTGTAAAGAAATTTTATAGTCCTTATTATACATTGAATGATTAATCAGTATTTTAATATAATCTGATCAGATCAAGACGCTTCATTATCAAGATAATGTCTAATTAATGAAGTATGAATTTATTATTATATTATATGTGTTACACATACCAATTATGTATACTTATAGATGCTACTTAAATAGCACCGAAAAATTTTGACTTTTATACATGAAGAATTGAATTTATATCTATCTTAAAAATGGTGTTTTTACTACACGTTTTGTATGAACTATTTCTTATATTTATTCTGAAGTTTCTGGTGTGATTTTGTGTAAAGGTTGCGCCTGGTGCACGCACTGTACACTGCCAGGACGTTCTGAATTGGTAATTGTTATAGAATAATAGCTGATAAATAAGAGCGTCATAAAAATAATAATATGAAGACATTACATTTCGACACTCTATTTTAATATTTTATACTCCTCAGTAAGACCAATGAAACTTAATTGTATATTAATTTTTTAAATACAATGTGGAATTTAATACTATATTTATATCCGTTAATACAGTTATAAACATTATAATGCTAGTTACAGACAAGCATTACACTCACCGCCCCTTGCACTGTATATTATTTCTCCTTATCTTGAGCTATTGGATCCATATCTTCCCAAGAGAGATTAGATATCAGGATAGCCATTGCATGTGGAACGTGAGATTGTGCTAAGCGATGTCACAATATCTTTTTCTCTGAAAGAGCGACAAATAACGTGATTGAGGTGTGAAAAAATTTATTTGATTAAATAATCAATTAAATAATTATCGCTTCCTATTTGGGAAGTAGAGATCATCCAGAAAGATGGCACGGTCCAGACGTCTTCGTTTGGATGAGGTTGTCAGCTCAGTACCAGAATTAGGGCCTTCTGTACCGGATGGAGGATACTCATGGATCATTTTACTAGGAGTCGTCACCATCCAGGTACTGTCAGGTACTGAGATAATACGTGAGAGTATATCCTGGAAAACTAAATTAGTCCTTAATGTGTCTTATTTGCATTTTTAAAAGTTTTTCTTCGGGTGGTTCTGATTAATTAAATTCTAGTCATTATCTTTTCAGATGACTGTACCTAGTATTTTGTCTATGTACGGAGTGGTCATGGGGTACCTGGAGAGTGATATTGAACCTGATATTGATCTCTACACTGGAAAGATTACCATGACACCAATACTTTTTTATGCATTTTGGAATTTGACAGGTAAATTTTCTTGTATAGGATAAAGATTATTCATATATTTTATATTCGTTATCGAATAACTGTTGATTATATTTACTGCATACAGATCCTTGGAGCAGGACAATAGTCAGTCTAGCATCAGTGCCTCGTCTGGTAGCACTCATAGGAGTAATGCTACTCTCCATAGGTGTCCTGGCTTCAGGATACCTGGCAACTGGTGGTGTGGGAGCTTATTTAGCACGTCTCAGTGCAGGAGCTGTCATGGGTATAGGAGCTAGTATTATTATCATTCAAAGTGAAAACATGTTACGTCGTCACTTCAGGACACGGCTTCGGCTGGTGCTGACTTTGAAGAACATAGCCTTTGCCCTAGGACAGATCCTGGCGCCAGGATATGCCTTTCTACTGTTGTCAAAAGCTGGTTTACAGACTGGATTATTTCTTATGGCTATAATCTTTATACCAACAGCGCTAGGCGCTGCGACATTTGCTCCTCCAGCACTTCAATATGCTGCACCCTATACTCTTTTACTTGGCGAAGAAGACAATGAACTCACGATCAAGGACACCAGTCCAGACGTTACTAGAGGAACTCAGCATGAAACTGAAGCTGGCCAGACCGATGCAAGTATTCGTGCATTAGAACAAGGACAGAGACCGGAACAGGAACCAGAAACTGCTGAAGGACCTCCACCACTGTTTGGTGCAGGCAGTAACTCTTTTTCCTATGAAGATCCTGAGGATGATGTTAGTTTGTTCGTTACTCCTATTGCTCGTGTTAGTACTACCTGGAGCGATGAATTCAGAACAATGAAGTTGGTGACGTTTTGGTTCGCTGTTTTTGCCTGGACTGGGCTTAAAATTGGACCACTATCTATTTGTTTGCTCCTTCCACTTTTGACTATTGTTCGTGTCAATTCTGCTACCCTAGCTGATGGAGTAATAGTTCTTATTGTACTAGGTGTGGGTACCTTGATACCTGCTATTGGTTCCTACTGGAACTTAAAGACAGCTCACCAAAGAAGTGTGTATTTTGGTTTATCTTGCTGGCTAGGAGGTTTTGTTCTTGTGGGTACGAACATAATTTTTCTTACTACGTTTTACAAGTATTTCGCGTAATTAATATATCTTTTCTTCTATTCTAGCCTTGGCCTACAGTATGAACTATACTTGGCTTACAGTTTGTGCCTTCCTGGGTGGTATTAGTATAGGTGGATTAACCGTATCACAGGAATCAGCGTTGAGGGATGTTCTTGGTGCTCAAACTGCTAATCATGCTCATACTGCTCTCTCTACTATTGTTGGATTTAGTTTACTTCTATTTTCCTTTGTCGACGGTAATATTCACATGATTCTGAATACAGAAGCAATGCAAACACTAAATATATAACTTTTATCTTATAGATTTTATATTTTGGTTGAGAGCAGCATCATTTGTGCAGTTTGGTGGTGGAATTTACTATATCTTTGCACCAACACTGGGAGCACTTCAAGCCAAATGGCCAAGGTGACAAGGCGATGCATACCAATAAGATCACGCACAATTTGTAGTATTAATATGGTTTATGGAAATGAAATGTTTCTGTAAATAGTCTCGTATCGTTCTATCCTGCGTGTAACTGGTAAGGCGGATTAAAATTTTAAACATGTAAGACTTTTTCAGTATTTTCAGGTATCGCTATATATTTTATACATGCAAAGTTGCAGAAATCACTTCTTGTTTTTATATACAAAAATTTCATACTCGATTTTGTAAAACGATACATACATATCGTACTATCTGTGTTACGAATGAAATTCATGGAACTGCTGCCTAGCAGATAATTAAAGAGAAAATGAAGACTTATCAGCCGTGTTCAATTCTTATTGAAAAGTCCATCAGTAATCTAGTACATTCTATAAAACGTAAGTTACATGCTAAATAAAAATTATCACGTACGATTAATATAGGCTCGACATAATAGTAATTAACATAAAGAGATTTTTTTATAACGATCCGAGTTTACCAAAAATATTTAACGTTTTAAATAACATTTAAATGTGAGGGAATATAAGATAAAAAAGATTCAAGATCTCTATTTTTTTGATACTTAACTTTCATCTAATTTTATGTTACATTATTAATTGTTATTGAAAATTCTGTCTCGTGTACGGGTCGAGTTATTTGTTAAGATCTACCAAGGAGTACAGTGCATACTTCCAAGATTTTAAACCTAGCAATGTCTCTTAAAATTGATTTTATGAATTAAACCAACTGCTATTAGCTGAGTAAATCCATAATATCCTGTGTCGATAGATTTACTTGCTGTGTATTATTCGACTGTCCCATTAACGGCTGTGACATTCCTAATGTATTAGAATCTGATCTCCATTCCGAACCCATTGAATTATTAGACATGTTCCAACTTTGATTTGGTACGTTTTGAGGTCTAATTTGATTCCAGTTCGATATTGTTTGATTTGGCCCAAGTGTGCCCCCTGTTGACCAACCTGGTGAACTCATCCCATTTGCATTCCAGGCCCCTGTAGGACTCTGCGCAGACTGTGGGCCAGCTGTTATAGCTAGACCACCCCACTGAGTCTGCGTAGGTGTGTTCTGTGACCAATTAGCACTCTGCAGAACTGAGTAATTCGGCTGCTGAGGTGGAGTTTTAGGACTTAGATTCAGTTGATTCAGATTATTCTGCAGAAGTGTATTGGTCAGGTCCTTTGGCTGTGGCTTAGCTGGTGGAGAAACCTTTTTGGGCGCCAGTGACGCCTGAGACTGTAATCTTTGACTAGCTTCCTGTTGCTGAGCCAATCTGTAAGGTACATAGAAAAGTAGTCTTTTTGCATTCTTTTGCAAATGAAGTTGTTTCGATACCTTTGTTTATCTTGAAGAGTAAGACTTTGTCCACCATTGAGAGGCTTCGAAGAACTTGTAGGTGGTGGTGCCAATTCTATTCCAGCAAAAGCATCATTGAGCTCATTAACCACAGCAGGATTTGCCGCCTGGGAAAGAGCTTGATCAAATTGCTGGGCATCACGGCGAACTGCATCCAATTGTTTTAAAGCTTCTCTGTGTTCAGATGTAACTTTTGTTATCATATCTCCCACCAAAGTAGCGAGGGTTTCGAATTGTGTGGGGCTGAGACTCTGCTCCACGCACAGCGGTAATAAGAACGGCAAGACTCGGGTCGCCATAATCTCTTTGCTCATTCCTAGTTTACTATGAGTCAGGACTAGCTTATAGATTCCTTAGGAAAGAAAAGAATGGTTAAACATTTTTAATTGATATGTATCTACCTTCTGAGACTATCTAAAAATGTTCTAAACCTATTATCGCCATAAGAACAGCAGGCTCTCCAGAGTGTGGTATCTCCTGTAGGAATGGTAGTATCTGGTCCAGGACAAGCCATCGATCTAGGTTCTCCAGCATCTTTGCAAGACATAGAAGACAATTGACCCGTACTCCTAGACTACTTGTACTTCCCTTTCCTCCTATGCACAGTTTTTTAATTCGGGGCAGAATGGCATTTTTCATTGAGGGTCCTTCAATGAGTGTTGCTATCGAAGGCAGCGCTGCTAGACACAGTTCCTGCAACTGTTCCCAATTGGAATCTAGGGCCCGGGTGAGCATGGGGACAACGTCGCTCTTAATTACATCAGCAGGACAAAGTTTCAGGAGCAAGTCTACTCTTTGCATCAGGACCAGACTTATCTAAAATATTAAGATAAGATAGCTAATGTCTTCATATTGTATGAAAATACAATGGGCTACCTGTGGAGGCTCTCCCAGCGCCAGGACAGGCTTTAAATTCGGCAAAATGTGTTCGCGGAATTCTTCGATGGTTCCCGTTTCTGCGACCTGGAGGACACTTGGTAATACAAAGGGAACCATAGGTGCATTCACAAATTCCTTATAGAGTGCTGGTAGTACTCTGTGCAGGGCTACTCTGTGTGGCAGCTGCTTAATAACCTGAGGCAGACCCTTATAGAACTGAGACTTTTGTAAGTTGTCCCACTGAAAAAGCTTGTCCAGGTAGTTGAGCGTTTTTACCCCAATGTCCGTGAAATACTCTATCTAATAATTATAATAATAAAAGCATTAGAAATTGATGAATAGCCAAGAAAGTATTTTGATTCATAAAAACTTATGTACCTTTATAAACTGATGAGCATCTGGTCTGAGTTCTGGGTTATTAGTAAGCATTAGTTTCACAGTGTCTCTAAGGGCTTCTGGAATAGGAGATAGCTTCGCAGTGGGTAGTGATGTCTTGATATCTCCTAAGAAACGTCGACACTTGGATGGATCTCCATGGGATTCATTAAGTGGCTTGTGCCCTGGAGAGTACAGGGTATAAACTAGCATTCCCAGGGAGAATATATCACTAGGCGGCCCGTTGCTACCAGCTATAATACATTCTGGAGCTTGAAAGTCTAACTGTGGTTGTGCGATAGCTGGGATTGTAGGATCATAATCAATGTATGACCAGGATGGCTAGGATAAAGAATGTAATGAGACCTTTTGAAATTCTTTGATAATTTTCATTTGTATGTCACATACCTGCTTGTCGTTAGGGCTTTGATTCAAAGCACAAAAGTCAAAACCAAAAATTTTCCATGCTCCATGTCCATTAATGACAATGGATTCTGGACAGACATTTCTGTGGAGAAGTTTAACGTCCCCATGTAAAAATGCCAATCCCTCTCCCAACTGTAATAATCCATAACGAATTTCTACATCTAATAATTTATAATCTCTCAGGGCTGCTGGAGGAGGCTGTGGAACGTTCTCAGAACGTCCCAGTGCATTAGCCAAGCTTGCAAAAACTGGCTCAGTAGCGAATGCAAGACTATCTCTGGATTCTTCCAATGGATGTTGAACAATTAATATCTGAGGGTGCCGTAGTTTAGTTAACTGGGTCACACCACGTCTGAGAGACTCTAGAACAGCTTCTCTTTCTGCCTTTCCAGACCAGCGATCCAGGAGTCTCTTCTCAAAAACAAATATTGCAGCTTCTTGTCTCGTTGATTTTTTATAACCACTGTAAACCTTCCACAACAAACCAGGTCCTGCACTGGCAATGTGTGCTGTTGCTTCAAATTCTCTGGTCACAGGATTTCCTGGGAGAACACTGGAGAGCTGTGAGAGACCATAAGCAGTACTGTTTACGGTGTTACTTATGGTGTTGCTCACAGTATTCCTAAGTTTGTTCAACACGTCCATCTTGACACTGTTAATACAATAAATAAATAGTTATTATTCAATCCAACAAATGCACAAGTGCATCACTTACATATTATCCAGAAGATACAAAGTTTATTGCTACCAGTTTACTTAATTTGACACATAGCTTTCATAGGATTCATTAATTTGAGATGAACTCAGCCAGTTACTACAGTCTGTAAGCTATCGTCACGGAAACAGGTGTGACTATCGATTCAAAAAATAATGAACTATCCCTTTTGTACAAATTTTTAATACAATTTTATTATTCTACACCATTATAGCTTAAATTCTTATATGTAAAATGTAAAAAAATATAGGATACATTTTTATCTGTATTTTTGATTCGACTGATGTTGCATAAAAATTGTATTTTTTAATAGAAGACGAGAATAGGCAATATGCACTGATGTGCGCCTGACTATAGGCAATGTTCTAATCACCTAAAGCGGGTTGCATATCGGCTGGCGTCAATACTTATTTTATACACATCCAACTAGTTACGTACTATCAATATGCTAATGAATAGTCAACAGATTATTAATGTCACTCAATAAAACATGAAAAAAATATAATATATATAATATAACCCGAAAATTTCAATACTAATTTGAGAAATGTGAAAACTTTCGGGTCCTATTGCTCTTTCAGTTTTACATTCATTACTGCGAAAATAATGTCAACATGATTGCTAACCTTACAGAATATGTACTGAACTTCGCTTTAGGAAAGATACTGTGTGAAAATCCTATTATTTACGATTTTCATTGACATATCACTCGCATGGTAAATAAGAATTCCAGAGTCAGATCAACATGTCATTTACGCAAAATTACAAAAAGGTAAAAAGTGACATTTGGCCTTATTTGGAGAGTAAAACGAATAAAGGAAGAAGAATATTAAAAAGACTTTTCAGAGCGTACTTAAGAGCCTGGTCTCACGATAACTCGAAGTATGTTGCCTCTTAAATTTCCATCTCTAAATGCATCGACTTATCTGAAGATATATATTATAGAATATACAAATTGTAACCTCTGAACTCATACTATCTAATGTTTCATTACATAACTCAAGAGTTGTAATTCCTTCTGATTTCAAATGTATTTCGATGCGAGGCACTGGACATCTCTCCCCGCCAATTTCTTATAAGCAAACTCTAATGGCAGATATTCGAAACACGATGACGTCCAGCACTTATGGCCGCCGTATTGACACGTCAGGCAAGAAAGACGAATCGTGGCCAAGAGAACGTAACTCCTTGCACCAATCTGCGCCAATCATTTAAAACCAGCTGGAAATTCCTCGTAGTCTATCCTCTGTCTCTTGGGCCGTCTGTTTTCTGTTATCCAGTCAAAATGAATATGGCTGCTGAGGTGAGGTGGCTCGCGATTTTAATCGCTTTTACGGTCATCCCGGCTTTTCACGCGGAATCTCCACATAGAAAGTTCGAATATAAATATTCGTTCAAGCCGCCTTATCTCGCGCAAAAGGATGGCACTGTTCCCTTCTGGGAATACGGAGGAAGTGAGTACAAACAATCTGCACATAACCAAGACGCTACGTTTAACATACTTCTTCCGTATGTTGACATATTATGCCGGCATCTTATGCTTTTGTGGAATTTTTGATGTCTGGAATAGTTTGGGATGTGTTATACTTTATCTTGTTGATCGTATGGTATTCCTGGAGGAATGTTTTTACTGTTTGCAACATGTCAGAAGGCTGTTGCAATGGAATATTTTTTGACTATCGATAATCAATAGAATTACTGTAAGTTGTTTTCAGGTCAAGCACTAACTCATTGACACTCTCAGTGTGTAAGGAGTATTGGAGAAACTTTAATATTAATACAGAATGAAAATTAGAATCTTCTGATTTGGAGGAAAGTGAAACGTAGTTGGAGTTTGGGATCAATTTTATATTGTGGATGTAAACAGATATTCTCTTCTATTATGTAGTAGTCATGTTCCAATTTTCAATGTGGAGAAATTTAGTTTCTTATGGTATTTTACATTTTGCAACGATTGATCAATCTTCCTTTCAATCTTAGCTCTTTATTTATTCCTTCTATGGATTACTTTCTGCAGAATACTTACAAAGTTCCCTTGATTTTGTGCCATGGTTAAATTGCTACTTTATATATTTAATATTCACATTATTATTTTCATGTGTGTCACGAACACAATTTACTATGTTTCAGATGCAATTGCTAGTTCTGAGAATGTCAGAGTAGCTCCTTCGCTTAGAAGTCAAAAAGGTAAATTAACATTAAGATTATTGCTTTTATTTAAATATTAAACTCAAATCAATATTTGATATTCATAGGCTGAAATTATATTAGATAATATCAATACTTGATAAGTCATGTACATTTCATTGCATCATACAATACAATCTACAAAGATAATCTCAGTATGTTTCTTGACCAATAGTTATTATATTACACTAACAGGAGCGATTTGGACAAAGCAGCCGACAAATTTTGATTGGTGGGAGGTTGATCTTGTTTTCCGAGTAACTGGACGTGGTAGAATAGGAGCAGATGGTCTAGCATTTTGGTATACGACAGAAAAAGGTGCCTACAATGGTACAGTCTTTGGTAGCTCGGACCAATGGAATGGTCTTGGAATTTTCTTTGATTCTTTCGACAATGATAATCAGCACAATAATCCCTATATCTTGGCAATGCTCAATGATGGCACAAAGAGTTTTGATCACAGCAAGTAAGCAGTCTAAAGTCTATTCTATAAAAGAGATGAATTGAAAAAGCATAAACATTAATTTCTGTCTATAAAACAGAGATGGGTCCACACAACTACTCGCCGGATGTCTTCGGGATTTTCGTAACAAGCCATTTGCAACACGTGCAAGAATAGAATACTATCAGAACACATTAACAGTAAATACTCATTATTATGTATATACTGATATAGTTATGAATAATAATAATAATAATAATAATAATAAATATATATTCAATTTTATAATTCAGGTTTTATTCCACAATGGTATGACCAATAATGAAAACGATTACGAGCCATGTATTCGAGTAGAGAACATAGTTCTACCAAAATCTGCATACTTTGGAGTATCCGCAGCTACAGGTAAAGACGAATTATGTGAAATGTCAGTGAATAGGAAAGCCTGACATTTTTTTAAAAATCCACAGGAGGTCTAGCTGACGACCACGATGTTCTGCACTTCCTAACAACCTCTCTCCACCCACCTGGTCAGATGAGCGGAGACGGTCGCAAGGTGTCCACGGAAGAGGAAATAAAACTGAGTCAAGAATATCAGGACTACCAGAAGAAGCTGGATCAACAGAAAGAGGAGTATCGTCGGGAACATCCTGAGGAGCAAGAACAAAAAGAAGAGTACAATGAATGGTTTGAGAACGACAACCAAAGAGAACTCAGGCAAATTTTCACTGGACAAAGTCAAATGTTCGACGTGTTGCGCGAGCTCAATAGAAGACTGGACGAAGTGGTAGGTCGCCAAGAGAGGACGCTGAGTCTCATGTCTCAGCTCCAGATAGGCGGTAAGTGTATCTCAAAATTTCTGACGAATAAAGAGAAAAGAAGATCCAGACAATCCTAAGTAAAATCATATCATCAGGTGTCCAAGGTGCTGGTGTTCAAGGTGGACAACCTATCCAAGTCATAGATACCATCCGCAGACAGGAAGTCGACGCAGTCATTAATAATCAAAATATCATCGTCAACACAGCCAGGGAGATTAAATCATTCCTTGGCGAAGTAAATTCCAAGGCTGATACCATTCTAAATAATCAAGCTCGCGCACCTACTGCTCAAGTACAGCCAATGGGATACGATTATCAGTCACTGATATCTGAGATGCGTGACGGACTGAATGTGATCAAGCGTGACGTGGCTCAAACTAATGCAAAACTGTCCAGTGGTACCGTCGATTGTCCAACTGGAAATTGTCTGACAACGACAATGTTCCTCGTCTTCCTGGCTATACAAATGATTATTTTACTCGGCTATAATATGTACAAGTGAGTAAACTGTCTCGTTCTTGAAATAACAACCCAATTTAAAGTGTATACGTTAACGTTATTTATAATACTCGTTTATTTTTTATTCGCAGAGATAACAGAGAGGCCCAAGCCAAGAAATTCTTTTAGAACTCATGAGGCAGAAGAGGAGTAACCGTTTAACGTTACACTTCAGAAGACACACATGCACATATTGTTATGAACTCTTTATTATCAATTTACATTGGTCATCTCTCTTTTGTCTTCGCATCTACTTATATACACTGTTTTTGGTCTTTTTTTACATGCGACGATCTTTTTCTTCCAATTCTTTTTTCTTTTAATCAAATCCTATTTCGTATTTACCGCGCGACTCAGTGATAACGAGAGTCTACGGTGCCTTTGTGGAACTAGTGGATGAGTCTGAAGCGTATTTTTTTTTTTCTTATTTCATTACAAGGAAAAGTGAGAAGAAAAAAAAACAGTATAATGTAATTGTCAATTTTGACCCACGTAATCTGCGATCACCTGGGGCGCTTTGTGAAATTGCGAATCTTCTTTCGTCTTTTCTTGTATTTTTAATTGCATCTGCTGTTTGTACTTCTTTGCCAAATAATTAATTGCTTTGGGTTTACTCCTGAGATTGACTTAAAGACGAAAACAAAGACATTGAACAGTGATACATATTATCATTCTCTTTACTTGTGTTATCACGTACAGCATACTGTGCATATAGTATATATATATATAGATATATACATATATATTTTTTACTATCAATCAACACAAGCGTCTCGCATGTCTCTTTTCATATACTTCTTTTTTCTTCTCCTTGATCAATTATTTTTTTAATAGCGCTTAGCGTAAATCGCGTCTTTTCATTATTGGTTCATTATCACATGAGACGACAGGGATGATGCAAATTCTTATGAGATAAGGTATACAGTAAAAATAGTATTAATTTATTGACAAAAAAATCGAAGGAGTCGCTAAGAACAAAATAGTAACTTTGCCTTAAAGTCAATAGCGTTACAGGCATTATGGCACTAAAGTGAATACGGTCTGTACGTTGAAAGAGAAGTTAATAAGGGATTTATAAATATTAGGAGTGTCTTTATTCAAATTATTATTATTTTCAATTCGCGCTGGTTACTCAAAAATAAAGAATGAGAATCGCACGCGTCTTTGTCGGCGTGAAACACGATGGAGATTCGTTTGAGAACGTTAGACTGTAAAAAGGCAAGTTCCGTTTTCCATAAGTTACTTATTTTTGTCCAATTTAATTTGGTACCTATATCTCTTTTTTTTTCGTTTTCTTTTCCATGATTCTTCACTCAGCAACAAGTATGTTTCAGGGTTTGATAAGCGATGAGCGAAGTCTGACACATGACAAGTAATTCCATATTATTCGCATTTATGTGAGAGTTTATCAATGTTTGTAATGTGTACCAGGTACGAGAAATGAAATAAAAAAAAAAAAGGAAAAGAGAATCAGGAAGGAGTTTGCGAAGAAAAAGCATGCACAGCGGGACTTTGATAACTCGAACTTGTATAAGTTAAAAACCTGTATAAGACTATAGCCCGTATTCAGAACTCGCTTTTAGTGCTCATAGCGCGCTTTTAAATTTTTTCTTAGTGACTTTTAACTACAAGCGATTCTGTTAGTGACTTTCAGAGCGAGTTGTGAATACGGACTTATGAATCTTCTAATGCTTCACCTTTATAATTTAAAAACCTCGATAATTCGCAACTACGATGACTGCAAGCATATTTCATTTCCCTTAAGATTTGATTCGAAGTTCCACTGTATATAGCATTTCTTTTCTACTTTCAATATCTCTTTTTTCCATTTATTCAAATTCATTACCGACTTTCCCTTCGACATCGTTGACCTCTAATCTACAGGTATCTGAATGCACCGAGGAGATATTAGCAAAGAGAAAAACTTATTGGACCTCATGGAACTTTGTATCTGACGGCTAGTGGGCACATATCCTTTGTTCCTTTCCTTATGGCTGCATCCCCAATGGGGGACATGTGCCAGAGTGGGCACAGATGGGTACGGGAGATATGTTGGAACCACGACTAAAACCAGCATAGAAGTTTTACAAGGGGTTGAAATACCATATAGTTAGTTCCTTTCAGACACAGAATACACGAGGGCTGACCCTCTTCATCCATAACTCCTTCGGGGCTGATTATTGTTCTCAGTGAATTAATATAATGAGATGCAGTAAAAATGTTGACTTTTTTTCCAAAATTCCAAATGCAAAAAAATACCCTACCACGTCTACCTATTGATTAATTCAAATATCACAGTTATTCAAAATCATACCAGCAACGTATTATTTTTGGAAAAGAATACACATACCCGTCATTCTGATAACGTGAGTAGGTCTGTCTTTTGTTCTGTCTATATAAGCGTGTGTTAGAGTATAGATCAGTTTAGAAGCATTCAAGAATCAACCGAAGGTAAACAGTATATAAAAGGTGCATCTATGAAGCTTTTGTGATTGGTCAGTGGTGGGAGGGCAGGGTCGGTTTTGAAAAAAGGGCAGGTGAGAGCAGCGGGGGACGTTCAGATAGAAGTCTTGGACATGGCGAAAGCCAGTTTTGCTCACACAATGTCTACCCACTACGGACATATGTTTATATGTATAGGTAAATACATCTTAAATAGTGGCGTCTATACTGTACGATACGGATTGTAATAACTGTATCATATTTATTGGCCAGCTTTTGTTTTCTGTCAATCATTATAAAGTGAACATAGTTTACTGACTGGTCGTTTTTCTAGTATCCCATGATCCTTATTTGGTCCACATTACCACACATAATTCACTTTGCTTAATTCTGTGGAATATGAAATTTTGTTCTTTTCTCTTTTTATTTTTCTTATAATTAACACGCGCATAAGCTCCTCTCTCTCGTACTCCCGGTAAATATACAAAATTCAAGAAAATCTCCAAGGATCCAGTTCTTCCTTATTATCTCAATATCAATGGTTTACGATGTTATTAAAGAATTTCTCTGACCTTTAAATCTACTGATTATGGAAATACTCATGCTCAAAAGTACTCCATGACTGTCAAAACTGATTCCTAACCTCACAGACGGATGGTTTCGTACGTGTCATTATACTCCAGCGCCTAAGTGGAGAAACGATTCCCTCTCGATCCACTAAATCTTGGAGGATGACTTCTCCCCTCCCTTTCTGCTGCAAGGAACATAAATCCTGCAACTGTACATAGGAGGTATATGGCAAACAGGATCCCCAGAACTGCTGAGTGCTTGGGGCTAAAATTGAGATTTATGAAAGAGTCAAATCGGTGTACGTTTCTCTACGAGTATCTGCATCCTTTATTCTCTCGTTCTTTATATCTATTTTTCTCCTTCTTTCTCTCACATAATAGGACCGGACTGCTTCGAAACTCATCGCAATCACGAGTTAATGACGCGAAAGAGCTACTGATCATCCCCTCTAATGAAATGCTAATTCAGACAGGAAGGATGGCTGTGCCGTATCCACGAGTCCCGTTAGGGTTCAATATCCACTTGAATAAGTACACTCGTATTGTCGGATCATAGGATGACGCTGGCATTTATTATTTGACAGATATCAGAGTCTTATCTATTTGTTAATCATCTGGCTCTAATTTTTTATGCAAATTTTGTACGTTTTCTAGCACGCTGGCAGCTGACAGACTTTCTAGTTACACTCGTAGAACATACTTTTCTTGGTTATGTCAGTTGTTCGAAACACGCGCCAATTTTTTGGACTTGCATTACTGTCTGCGCGCTGGATTCACTTAGAGTGCGTTCCACTTATCGTTCGCAACGTTTGCAACATCGTTGTTTCTCTATCCAATACATTTAATATTTAAAGACACAACGATGTTGGGCGTTTTATATCTTTATAATATTTATAAAATATAAATATCTTTATATTTTATAATATATTTTATAATATCTTTAGCTAACCTCGTTAATACTACGCTAGTCATTGATTCCTTGTCGAGCAGTTAAAACGATTCGGCATCATCCCAAATGGACATAACGGGGTCCCAGGCACTTGTCTCTTCATGCCATTCTACAATGCAACGGAACACGTAACACGGAAGAAATAAGCAATAAGACATTCAGTCATCACGCACTACGCAATCGACACGAAAGGCCATTCTACAATGCAATATAATAACACGTAACACGGAAGAAATAAGCAATAAGATTTTCAATTGTATATTTACCTATTTCCATTGGATCCTCCAATCAAGAAGGAGAAAATCGTTTTTAAAACCGAGCGTTTACTAAGTCTCTACGATTTTGGTGACGTCTTGGACATAGCAACGATACGGAAACGGTTGCTAGGGTAAATTATTACTTTATTTTTAAAGTCACGATGACTTTTACCGTAGAGAAATATGATTTCTCTAACGATATTGATAATGACCTCGTTTATAGAGTTGGTTAATGACAAGTGACAGGTAATGACATTTCACGCATGGAAATATTGGCGAAATATTACGTATTTCACGGAGCACGAAACGTGATGAGTAGCATCGAGCATGTCCCGTTCTGTAATCTGTAATGGCTTACGTTAAAAATACATAGCAACGATACTCCGCTTCCGTATCGTTGCTATGTCCAAGACGTCACCAAAGTCGTAGAGACTTAGTAAACGCTCGGTTTTAAAAACGATTTTCTCCTTCTTGATTGGAGGATCCAATGGAAATAGGTAAATATACAATTGAAAATCTTATTGCTTATTTCTTCCGTGTTACGTGTTATTATATTGCATTGTAGAATGGCCTTTCGTGTCGATTGCGTAGTGCGTGATGAAATTATATAGGGTGGCTTTGCAATTGGAGAAAGATAATTTTTTACAAGCAGATACACAAACGCAAAGGTGCATTATCTATTTATATGTCGCTGTTAAAAATTTCTAACGCACGGATTAACCTGTACAGTCGTTCCATCAGTAAAAGATTCGAGGATTCACTTATCTATCTTAACACTTTACTGACAGGTCACGAGTATACTCGTGTTTGCACTTACATTTGTTTATGGAGATTTTAGGCCTGACAGCAATATAGGTTTCGGCGGCATGAGATAGTATTGGCTCAAAATAAACGGTCAAGAAAGTTTTAACGCGCTAACTCTTAAATGCATGAATTACTTTTATTTGAAAAACTATATGTTGAAGTTATAACCCAATAACGTGCAGGACAAATATTTTTCATGACACGTGCAAGAAATTTCAAGTTTCAATGTCTCTACAGCCAGTCGAAACGAGCTAACTTCAGACCGTTGCCACGGACGACTATTGGCGGGTGCGTAATTTGCGAATTCTTTAAATCAGCGGGTAAATACAATTGTGTTTCTGCCCTCGGCTCGCTGTCAGTCACACTGAATGGTTATTTCAGCTCTATTTCTTTGTAATTTGTTTGTCACTTCAGTTTACTTCTTTGATTTTCATAAGTGACAGTTCTAACCGTGCAATCATCACAATTTACGCATGCGCTAACAGTTCCTCGCTCCCTTAACCTTAAATTTTTGTTTCTGACTGGCTGCTCACGCTGAAGCTTGGTTTCGATGCAGGTAACTATTAAAAATATAGTGTGTGACACGGGATAAAACACGATTTCAGACTTTGGACGATGTCAGCCCTCATCTACGGCTCGGGCAGCCAACTTCACTCTAGTCTGAAATCGTCTTGTTTCATCCCCTGTCACACAATATACTATTAAAAAATCACAATTAATATTTAGCTTTTTTTTTACCAAGAAAACGCGCGTAATTCCAAAAACAGGATGATTTCATTCAGATACCAGTGATGGATTTTAAAATGATTTGAAAAATACTTAAATACTTATTTCGTTGCATTGTAGAATGGGTCCAGGTTGCGGTGTCAGTTGGCTCTTAATGTGTTAGTAGTCATATGAAGATGGCATCTCGTAGACAGACTATAGGTATTGACAACAAGTATGTCCTACCGGGTTGTCCAAGTTAAACGTATCGCTTGAAATTGGCGCGCATATATGATTCTTATGGTAAAACTATGTTCAGGTGGTAAGTTTAATTTGAATATTGAATAGACGTAGAGAAAAACTGAAATTGCCTAATCCGCGATTTTACTACACAGCGACGAACTGGCCGTATTCGATTTTTTCCAATATCTTCCTAACTTTTTATCGCATATATGCGATATTTATTTATCATTCTTCATCATCCCCTATCCTATCTCACAAGCCCTTCCATTCTGAATTCCTCCATTTCCAAAATGATATCTCTCAGCAAGACGCATACCCATAGTCCAACCCAGTTTACGCTATCCGTCCAATGAGAATGCTTCGCGTAGGGGCGCAGAATCCGCGAAAATCATCCCCTGCTGCTAAACAACGTTCATTGGCGAGGCAATCAGCCAATCAGAGTTCATCTCATATTGATCTGGAGTCATACGTAGTTGAAATTGTTGAAACTCTACGTCTATATTTTTTT